AAAGGATTACAGTCAGCCTTTAGATGTGTTTAATTATAATCCTGCATACTTCAGGCTGCAGCTATGATGATAAGCTAATAGACTTCCTTCCCAGAAAGACTGAGCTTTAGGTCTATTGCCTCTTGCTGTGCCCTGGCAGTAATAGCTACTGAAGAACTTTCTCCATTAATTACATGGGACCTATGAACCCCACTGGCCACCAGAGTCAAGCAATGTAAAGATATCTCCTGGCATCAACTCTCTTCTGGAAGATACTGGTGATCTGGAGTGAGGCAGAGAAAGAGTGCAGAGACAATGTTCACTAACCTCCCTTCTCTAAGAGAACTTCCGTAGGCCTCTATAAGTGTGCCAAATCAAAACCCTGCTCAGGCCTGGGGTGCCTGGGTAACTCAGTTGGTTGAGTGTCCAACTTCGGCTCAGGTCACGATCTCACGATTTGTGAGTTTGAATCCCACATCGGGCTCTGTGCTGGCAGCTCAGAGCCTGGAGCCTGCTTTGGATTCTGTGTCTCCCTCTCTCTCTGCCCCTCCTCAATTCGAGCTCTCTCTCTCTCTCTCTCTCTCTCTCTCTCTCTCTCAAACATAAACAAACATTAAAACAAAACAAAACAAAATAAATAAACAAACAAACAAAACAAAAAATCCTGCTCAGGCCAAAGGTCCTAGACAAGCAAATAGTCCTCTTTCTCAGGAAGCCTTGGGTGTGTTTCAGTGTGATGTCTATGCAGTGCCCTGGGAGTGGTAGTCTGCCAAGAACTGTCTGTCTGATTGTTACAGTCTCATGGGATCCAGGAAAGCAGGGCCCCCTGACCTCCAGAATCAGGCAGTCAAGGGGGTGTTCACTGGGTAGCCGCTGCAAAAATTGGGTCACCAGAGTTGTGTAGAGTCCTTGGCCCCATCCTGGAGCTCTGGAATGTGGCAATGGAAGAGCACCAAGATGGCACTACTGGCTAGAAGAGGCAGATGTGGGATGAAAAGATGGCACTCACCATAAAAGGAAAAAAAGAAAAGAAATAAAAGACATTTAAAAAATCGTGCCCTCTGGCTTTTGGCAGAGGGAGATCAGAAATATGGTGCTGACCAGCGTCCTTCCCCAGAGAGCATCCCAGCAGGCCCCTGTCCCTCAGACCAATGCTTTAAGATTAGTAAATGAGCCTCTTTCATGTAAACACTGGACGGTTTTCAAAGGACTGCTTCTTCCCTGAGGCTTAGGGCCAGTGAGTCTGTACGTGGGCCCTTTAAGGGCCGTCCCTCAGTTCATCATAGACCATGGGTCTCTGGGATGCAAGCCCTGTTGGTCTTCAAAGCCAGACGTTTTTAAGGCTCTTCTCTCAGGTACTGGTCTCAAAAGTTGGGGTGCCCATTGTGGGGTATCAGCCTTTTGCTCTTAGGAAGAAGCTCAGGGTTTTGAGTTTCCTGCTGATTATGGGTCGCTGCACTAGGGGTGGGGTTTGTGGTGAGATTGTGCTTCAGCCTTTCCTGTTTGCTTTGATGTGGTATCCCTCCCCTTTGCTCAATATGAAGGAATTGCTCTGCCAGTTTTTGGATTTTTTTTTCCGGAGAAAGTTGTTCCATATACAGCTGTAGATTTGGTGTGTGCATGGAAAGAGGTGAGCTCAGGATCTTCCTAAGTCACCATCTTGAACCAGAACCTCTAAAATCTTAATAGTAAAAAAACCCAGAGCATCAAAATCAACAAACTTATGGGAACCAAGTTAAAGTGAGAGATGATACCGGACTCCTTATTTCAGACGTTTATTTTCCTCTACCTGAATACTTTTGAAATCTTTAAAACTCAAAGTAAAGCCATTATGTTTCCACTTTTGTGACTTTCATGCTCAGCTGAATTGATTTGGAGACTGATCTCTATTTAACTGAGGCTATTTGGGGTGGAGTTTAGTAGTTTGCATTGAGAGAAGAGCGTTTGTTACATGTTTAATGTGGTGAGGTAGAACATTCTTTATGGATCATTTCAAGGAATAAATATACTTGCTTTTCACAAAAATCATTCAGGTCTTTACGTTTTGAGAAGATTCCAAGTTTTCTTTCCTTGAATGTACATAAGTTTAGGCACAGAAACAGACATTTGTTTTTGGTTTCCTTTGTTGTTAACTAGCTTTCCAACTTTTTTCGAAACGACTTGATTCAGGATTGATTACAGGTGACCACAGAGATGCTAAAAGAACATATGAAATCCTGAGAAATCTAGTAAGGTGTCATATTCCTTTTGCTTGTCTATCTTTGTTTACTTTCAACTAGTATTAATTTCGAGTGGAAATAGGTTAAAGATGTAATTATTTTAAAGATCTAGGAATTAGTGAAATTTATAGGACCACTCTCCTATTGCTCTGTAAATTTTGCCAGTGATAAGCCTATTAAGAGCAACTCCATGCTTTGGTGATTGAACTGGTGGCTGATTACAAGTGATTTTCATGACTCATCTCTGAGTTTCCTCTGATGTTTTCTTTTAGTTTTTCTTCTTAGATAGGATATAAAGAAGATAAAGCAATAGAACTGAAATAAAATAGAAGGCAGCTGGGTTGTTCAAGTGTCAGAATTAGCTCATTTACTGTGAATATTATATGACAACATTTGCTTAGGTATCACTTCAAAAGTCAAACTGAGTCACATGTTGCGTATATGGGACTAGTGACAGTAGTATAGTTTCTTAAAGAGCCTACAGCTAATGCCCATATTTCAAATAGAAATATGCTGAAAACTTTACTTACAAAATAAAGTTCTCTTTTGTAAAACTACATATTCTCTTTTTTTGTTTGTTTTCATATTAAGGCTTTTAATCAGAGCTTTTGGTGTATCAGGATCCAGAATGTTTGAACAAGTGAGTGAAAAACATGTCAAGGCTTGGCAAAAAGATGGTTGAATTTGGATGTGACTTCTTGAGAAAAATCATTTTTTCATTTTGGAATCAGAAATGGTCATGTTTCTAATATATTGGTGTGCTCAGACACTGAGGCCAACTTTTGAACTATGTGCTTCCGATTTTAAACTGTCCTTTACTATGGCAGTTATCATAAAGACAAGACCTGTTTCCTCATCCTCATCCTCTCAAATGTGTTCTATGAAATTCGTGTTTTTCAAGATAAGGCCTATTTGAACGTATTGTTTATTTCTGCTTGTTGGTGTACCTAAGCCAGTACCTCCTTGTTACCGAAAATAATAGTACCATGTGAAGCGTTTAGATATAATTTGGGAGAACATTCAAAGGATAAGATTATATTTATAAGAATCCTATAACCTTAAATTTGTAAGAAACTCCAGAGCTCTCTTAAAAGCAGGGAATTTAAATATTGGATGACAGTAAATGTAGGAGCCCAAATCTATCCCTCAATTATTCACTAAAATAATCTCCAAACTTTAAAACAACCAGAGCATAAAAAAGAAGAAGTGGAGTTAATTTGTTAAGAAAAGAGAACTGAGTGGGCATTAATTGATCTCAAGAACACTGGTGACATAAGTAGTTTCTACTTCCATTAAGGAAATGATGAATACCATGTAATTTGTCATCCAAACTTGGATAATTTTGAAAGGAATGGGGCCTATTCATAATTAAATGTTAAAAAATAGGCAAATAGCAGGATATATAGTCACCCTAAGAATGATTCCTTTATTCACCAATTTAACAGGCACTCTGCTAAGTACCTTGGGAAAAAATGAAGACACCATCTCTGTCCTCAAAAAGATCAAGGCCACAAGGGTGGAATATATATGTTCTTCTTAGGAATTAAGATAAAGCTTTTTAGGGAGCACAGATGTCTAGTTTCCATCTGTTACTAAGGAGGCAAAAAGATTCTGTTAAGCCCTTAAAAATCCATAGGGTTGAGAATAATGAACTCTCACTCCCATTTGACAGGTAAGAAAAGTGTGACTCCTGCTACTCAACTAGCGAACAGCAGATATGAGGCTCAAGTATATGATCCTTGAGTTCCACTCTAGAACTTACCATCCCACTATGTTATTCTCATGGGAGTTACCAGAAGGAAAGGGACATAAAAAAATGCTAGAGATTTACTTTACGTTTCTTTGGAGACAAAGGATAGCACAAAGCTTCTTTGTGATTGAGTATCCTTGTTGTGAAGAGAAGAGCTAACCAAGCCCACCTATTCACTTTTAACCATATGACTCTTAAATCCTTCTTCCCAATCTTTTAATGCTTTGAGATATCTAGTATGTGTTTTTTTGTTTTTTTGTTTTCTTGTTTTTTTAGGAAGACTCTTTATTTTCTTTGCAAGTTATTTCATGACAAGGAATTGCAGTTTATATTTTCCACTACTAGGATAACTGAGCCTTTTACTGCACCGTATTCTAAATGGAATGTCATTATATCCAAGTATAGCAAAAGCAGGTCCTACTGTGTATACGTATCAACTCCACCACAATCCATTATGAAAACATTTTTCAGAAAATGCTTTATTATATTGTAGAAACATACTTATTATCTGTTAGCTGGATATTGTGCTAGTCCATAATACTGGGAATGAGCCTGCCTGCATGTAGACATATACTCATTTAGGCCCAAGTTACATTGTAGAACTATTACACCATTCATTATTTCTGTAATGCTACTCATTTCATTATTCATTTGGTTGATGTTTGATGTTTTGATTCGATTCACCAGATATGACCGTCGAATCTATCAAACAAACATGAATACCTGAAACTTCTTTTTAATATTGTTCCTTGTTTTTATTTTAGGATACATATGTTTATTTGTTCAGTGTATTTATTTTGAAGATGAGATTTTAATGATAGAAAATGGTAATTGTAAAAGAAGTAATAAAATGCACTGTCTCTGAGGCAGAAAGTGCAGTACTTAGCACAAGACAATGGCCTACATTATCTGACTGACAGGTGGATATCACATTAGATGAAAATGATAAGCATTTTAGGGAACTGAAGAATAACTTCCTCTTGACAGCACCCTGACCCTTGACCTATGGCCTCACTCTTGTTAGCTTCACTAACACAGGGTAATTGTCACAGGTGTAGGATAAAAGACATCTCTACAGAAGCTACCAACAGTCTGAGATTTATTTCTTTGGATGACCACAGATGTACTGCTGAGATAAAACCGTAAGTTCAGACCTTTTCAGACCTATAAGGACACGAATATGTATCCACGAGAAAGCAAAATTCCAAATACAATGAGTTTTCTTTACTGTTTAGCTTGAAGATCACTGTTGTAACAGGGAGGGTATGTGCATCAGGGCAAAGGGATGGTAAATATGTTACTGTTTTTATCCTGAAAGTATGTTTCTTACATAATTGTGACACAGATGTAATAAAGAATGCTCTATACACAATAGACTCCCCAAATTTTTATAATTATTAGTAAACTCTTACTATGTCATACTTTAGAAGTGTGTCCTATTCTGAAATGATTCTTTTGTATTTATATGCTAATCACCTCCTTCCAAAGAAATCAGTTCTTTGAGCTTTATTTAAATGTTCTCTGAAGGTAGTAGCTGTAAGAGTACTTATGGATGATGTGATAACAATTGTGATTTCTCATGAAAGTTAATGCCTCCTCCTGTAAGAAAATATATTGTATTCTCCTTTTTTAGCAACACAAGTAAGAAATTCAGAAAACACAGTGAAGCACAATGAGTTATGCAAATCCATGTTATAATAGAAGAATATTACAAGGGAAAACCAAATGACTGTAACATCCATTAAAGTGAAGTCAATATAGTCATATACCCATGATTTTTAACAAAACGACAGAAGAATGACTATTCCTGGTAAAATGAAAATGACTTCACATTTCATTAAAATGGAGTCAAAGCAGCAACCTGGCAGTGTTTTCAAAACGTTTTATCATGAGGGAAACGAAGTCAACTTTTCAAACACTTGGCACAATAAAGTGGTGTGTTTCATTATTCTGTTTATTTAGAGGTGTAATACTAGAATCACCCAAATGTTTGTTACTCAATAGGAAGGAGCCATAACAATTTCCTAACCATAATAGATTTCCAGAATCCAATTTTTATTCAAAATTATATAAAAGGCATAAATTACTTTTAAATTTATTGAGGGTTCTTACTCAGGTCAGAGGTCTTGTCCTTCAAGATTTATTTTTTATCTACAGTGTGCTTTGATGACACAAAATTAGTATATGCAAGCTTTAGAATAATCAAGGAAAATACAAAGATTGTGTTTATCTTAAAGTGATACTATAGGTAAACTACTTCAATTGGTTCAGTAAAGGTGTAGCCAAACCCATCTGTTTCCAAAATATCACACTTTCTTTTTATTAAATCATGAAAATAAGGAATTATAATCATGTAATGTCATGCATACTTGCTATAATAATGCCTTCTTCCCAGACTACCATCTTTTCAAATGTGATGAGATCATCAGGTAACAGTGTAGGATATGAAGGCTTAGCATGCTGTGTTGTTAGCACATTAAAAAAAGAAATTGCTGGGATAATTAACAACTACCTATTTGTCTGTGGGATGCATTCATTATGGCTCTACAAATTGGAGGTCTCCAAAATCTGTGCAATAAAATTTACTCTTTGTTCAGGAAGTTCCCCTTGGATTTGGGGAAAATTCTGGTTTGCTGTGTCTATTGTAATTGTGACAGGCAGTTGACATGTCTCATAGTCTAAATGTAGTGGCAAGCAGGGGGTGGTACAATGATGAAAAAACTGCCATTCATTCTTGTGCAAAGGAAAGGTGTTTCTTAGCATATTCCAACCTATGTTCAGACTAGAGTTGGGTCTCTGAGGTTGAAGGTCAAATCTGTGAGGTCAAAGCTATTTCTTGTCAATCTTCGTTCACTAATGACACATGAATTGGAAATTAGAACAAAGTAAGTAAAACGAATAGCCAGAAGGTGAGTGTCTGTTTTATTACTCAGAAGAGCTGGGAAATCTGGCCAATTGTTGCCCTATGTGGCTTGAATGACAGTTGTTAAGTTGAAAAAGGGACAGTGTGATGGGAATGCCACTTTAAATCTCAATTACCTCCTCCACTCCAATCAGCTTGGTAGAGCTTTAATGAAGTGCAATTCTCTGTCCTTTTCCTCATACTTCTATCTCTAGAATAAGCCTCACATTCAAGTTTGACAGCAGTACAATCAGTTTTCCATTCATCACTGGCCCTGTTTTAACCCTGCTGAAAAAGGGCCTAATGTACGTGGCAGTGATGGCAATTAGGCAGAAAAGTAATATTAGAAACAGACAAAAGCCTGAGTCTTTTAGCATTACAGGTGTTTTTTTTTTTTTAGCCCGTTCTAGACATAAAGGAATAGGCAGTGTTGTTAAGTTCCCTTCTTCAGTCTTCTCTTAAGCTGAAAGTCCAACGATTTCAAGATTCAATTAATTAGACACATGGAGAGCCAAAGAACAAGGTAAAAGCTAAGTTCTTTCTAACTGAAGACACACTTAGTAATTGGCCCCTTATTAAAATGGATATCTTCTGGGTGTATGTTTAATAAGGTTGATAAAAACTCGTCATTTCCTCATTAGGATAGCACATGAATACACTCTGTATGTAGAAAAGAAATCTTAAAGAGAACAAACAGGAAAATATCAATCTGTTAAATATAGTAATGTAAAACATAAAAATTGAAAAGCTTGAGAACTATAACTTCCAGAGATGGGGGATGTTAAATGCATTGTGTGTGTGTGTGTGTGTGTGTGTGTGTGTGTGTGCATGTGTGTGTGTGTGTGTGTGAGAGAGAGAGAGAGAGAGAGAGAGAATGAATGAATGTTTAAGCTGTTTTTTTTTTTTTAAGTCTTGGCTCTTCAATCAGTTTATCTTGGGATGCAAAATATTTAAGCATTTGAGTTTTATAACCCGGATCAATGATATTTAAAATTGACTTTTTTTTTTAAACCATAAAGATGAATGATAAATTTAAATGGCTCTCTCATATGAAAACAAATGCAAGCTTTCTGAATCTATACATTTGTGTCTGCATGTGAAAGAACCCATGTAATAATCATGCTTGTATCTTTGCACAGAGAAGTCACCCATACATGTTTAGGGACACACATGTATTGTTTTATCTAATTATATTTGTAAATACATCCAGACTCTTGTGTGAAACTGTAGAAAAGATAAATTTCATAGATTTTTGTGCATGCATTTAATTGTTCGATATGTTTTCCTAATGGTTCTTTTTCTGCCAATTTTAAAAAATGTCAGCCAGGTTGGGTGTTTTTTTGTTTTGTGTTGTTTGATAGATTCCACAGGAACATGTGGCATTGGAGTAAGGATCTTGTTTAAGAGAATGGAGGCTTGGAGGAAAAAAAAAAACCAGATGCAGCAATTAGGCGGCTCTTGCTGCTCATTGGGAAGGTGACACAAGTGGGTGATAGTGGCTTTCACCTCTCACACTCCCTTCTCTCCTGCCTGATTCCTAGAACAATCCCTGTCAGAAACACTCTTTGAAAAAGGCTGCATTAGACAATGGCTCTTCACCCTTATTTTACGCTTTAAGTAGTGGAGCAGAATGCTGTAAGGGGCTGAAAACAAGGCGTAATCTGAGAAAGACGCGCAGGCATTGTTATAACTGTGAAAACCAGAAGAGCCCCTTTCAGAGCCGTGACTGAAAGTGCTCGGAAGACCTTTAGTCCTTTGCACTCTCCCAATCACCAATTAGACAAACATTAACATCAATTAAGCTGTTATACGGCACAGGTTCCATATAATTACCTTAATGGGTTGACGCTTTCTTTAGCAGCAATTTCTTAAACAAACTTCATCTTTTGTGCAACAGGCTAAGAAAATTTTCAGCAGGGAGCATTTCCTTTTGTCAAGTTTTCTAAAGAGACAGCTGAATTGTTCTATTTAACAACAAACACCTTCACTAAGGACCCTCGTCTTGTCCCCGTTCCCACCACATTTGACTACTAGGCTCAAAGCTTATTAACCATCAGAGACAAAAAAACGGACTGGCCAGGGGAGCCCAGACACATGCAGGGCGGGCAATACACAAAGGACCAGTGAGTCTGGCACCGGTTTGCAAGCAGACCCTCGGAGAAAGCACCAATTGAATTAGTTGCCTATTTAGTATCCAAAGCGCCAGATCCGTCCTTACCAAAAGCACAAAGAAAATGAAATAGAAAAACAGGATCTTGCTCATAAAACAAGACAAATCTGTCTAATTTATTTTGTACCAGTAAGTGCTAATTAAATGCAAGCTACTCAGATTCTTCCTGTTCCTGCCTCACCTAATTCGCTTAGAATCACGACAATGCCAGTCTGATTTTTCCCCCTGTTTAACAAACATTCATTTGAAATGTACTCAAATACAGCTATAAAAATACAACCCTTATATCACTTCTATTTTTATTTTATATAAAGTCCATGTGTTTTTACTCTGTTGTGAAATTATTTGGGGGGGGGGAGCTCTTGGCAGAAACAAGTCCTTAAACTATCCTTGTGCATCCTAAGAAATAAACAACTTGAGATGCATATAATGAACTATAATTGTTTTCCCCAAGCCCCCCCCCCCAACAGGGTTGAAGTAATGTATGTAACCAAATTTTACAGCAATTCATTAAAAGTCAGGAGCCTAACTCTTTTACAGTTTTTTTAAGGCAGACCATGGTAAAAAAGAAAAAAAAATAAAAGGAAACAAATATAAAATATACACTAAATACTTATGCCAAATCAAAGCCTTTAAAATGCTTTTCCTTACCCACCCACCCTGCCCCCTGAATGTCTCTCTTTTTTTCTGTCCTTCTTTCACATCCCATTGCTCATTTTCACATACCTGACTATAACAATATCCTCGGGAGTAGGCAATTCAGTTTACATCTTTAAGGTCAGGGCTTGGGCTCCAAAGACAAGTGTTTGCTCCATTTAGCCCTGCCCTTGAGAGCTCCCAACACCTCTTTGGGTCAAAAGCTCAAGGCCACGAAATTAAAAGATGATGACAAATTTATGTTTAGATTTTTAACCTCAGGCCACTGTCACCCACGGCTAGAGGATTGTAGAAGGTTTCTAGGGGAAGAATTCTAGAATAGAAACATATACAATCACAAAATAATTGTTCTCACTTATGTTGCCAAGAATAAGTCTTTGAAAAAATATGTTTGTGCCAGAGATGAATTTATC